TTCAAGTCCCATTCAGGATATCAAGCACTGATGTGTTAAAGCAGGAAAATCGCTCTAGTTTCTTCAGCTTAAATTAGTGTCAAATCTGCCTGGTCACTGATTTTTTTTATTGTTTAACAAGCCTCACTGATGTGTTGAGTGATTGTGCTTGTAGATAAACAAGTACATGAATGGTTGATTAAGCACAGTAAAAGTGATAAAATGCAGTCAGAATGTGAATGCTTTCATACCGTTTGCTTCTGTGATGCTTAACACTTTTCAATGTCTGTAAGCATATGAGCTTCAGTGATTAGATGTGCATATTTAAGTCTAAGTCACAATGCGAAAGAGGATGATTGTGTAGCTTGTCATTTCATTGTCTGTGTTCCTTTTGCTCTCGCTGCAGTGAAAGTCAGAGGGTGGGAAATGGTGGGTGGCAGGAAGTCAAAGCAGCTATGGCTCCAATAGGGTGGCAGGACTGTGTCAGCCAAGTTCAACTCAAGCAGGTCGTTCTCTCTTCACAGTGACATCTGAGAAGATCAGCAATGGAGACCAGCAGTGAGGGGAAAGGAGGTGCAGCGAGGCCGTGCCCTGGGTTAGATTGCACTGGATGCTCAGATATGGCGACAGGAAAGGGCAGATTGGGGCAGGGCAAAGAGGAAGCTGGCTGAGGCTACTGTTACCCCAGGAAGCACTCACTCATCCCTCAGATCACCTGCCACACATGTGGAGGGCAGGATCTGATTCAATCACACAGTGCCACGAGACAGGAGCTGGGAATTGGGCACCAGAGCCTCAGACTGGATTTACAGTAAACCAATGTCAGGTTACAGCTGCAGAAACTGTGCACTATTAATTATTGCATTAGTGATTTTACATGTTCTGGCCAAAGAAATGTGTGCAGTTAATGTTGGAACATTCCAGGCAACACTTGATTTTCCACTAATTTCAATATCGAAACCTCATTTTCAAAAGGAGATTTTCCATCATAGGAGCCTGTCACACTGAGTAACACTCATCTCGGGTTCTGCGTTTGATTCCACTATGTTGCACCCACTTTGGAGGTGCATTCAGGGAGCTAATTTTCGGCACCCCTCAGGAGGTAGTACTAAAGTCAAGTACCAGCAACAAGAGAGGGGAGGGGGTGTGTGAACGCAGAGCAGTTGCCGGCGATTGGTTAAATGTCCTCATCTTCACACCTCAAGCATTACCATTACAAGCACCATGTATAAACACGCAGCTGACTGCGTGTGTGAGAGAGGAGCAGCCGCACCTTCCCGGGTGATGGTTAGGGGAAGTACAGGGTATACCACTCGTTAGGTTCTGTAGTGGAAACGCAGCAAAAGAGACTTGAGAGACTCTTGACACTATTCATCAAAGTAAATATTTCAAAATTGTTGCCAAAGTTATATTGCTTTTTGCTGCCTTCATGGGCACCTTGACATCTTAGGTTTGAAAAGCAGTTACTGACCTTTACCAAATGTGTATTATCTTTTGGGATGTCCAGGTTTGTAGGTTGTGGGATAGACTTTGTAGCAGCATAGAAAATGAATGAAATGTTGACAGCTGCTAAGCAAAAGCCAGTTTATGTATACAGTTGCAGTAACATGTGACAAGAGAAGTATACAATTTAAAATAACTTTTATATCATACTGAAATTGATGGAAAGCAGTAACTTCTTATCTTTGAGCATTTAAATTTGTTCTCTGTTTCATATCATTATTATATTATGAACTGAAAAAAGTAGTACACTGGGCTCTGATAGGTTATTATACAATTTGGCATTATTTTGGACATTTTATGTATATAAGTAAAATTGTTGATCAATTCATAGATTCATAAATCAACTAAAAACTTGCAAGCTTGATAAGTTTCTGGCACTGGGAATGCTGTGATGTAACTCAGAAACCATATGGTCAGTCTTACGCACACATCCCGGACAGTATACACACACACACAAACACACACAAACACAGGTAAAAATAGACCACAATGTAGTTTCTTCATCTGGAGTGCATTTCCTGTCCACCGGGTTGGCATGTGACTGGTGGTTTATGTTTTACACTGCTGGATCTCTCTGTTGTAGTTCTCTGTCTGCACAGAAACAAGCGTCTCAAAACTGAAACCACGACAAAACTTTAGTGATGGCGACAATGACCTTTTGTTTTGGGTATTGAAAACCTAAAGTGATGAGATATACACCCCACATCTGGAAAAATCCTACATGGTGGATTATGTTGGTTTAGGGTATATTTTGCCAAGCAGGGATCCCCATTT